GGAGGGAGACATGATATCAAAATTTTGCTCCTCTCCAACTACGATTTTTGCCTCATTTTGGCTAGATTTCATGCTAAATTGGCCAGATTTTGCGCTTTTTTTGGCTGAATTTCTTTGTCTAACTGAACTATTGTGCTTTTTTTTCCAGCACTTACGATGAATACCAAAAGCATTGGTGCATCATCATCAACAGTAGCAGCAGCGGTAACGGCGGCAACAAATATTTTCACGAAATCGGTAAACGAAATGCCAACTGAGCTCATCAATCATCTCTACGAAACGGGCGCATTCATGGTACCTAAATTCCACTAAGTTTTGCCAGAAACTGAAAAGACTTTTTTCTATTTTTCTTTTTTTTGTATTCAAAAGTCAAAACCCTCTTCGTAGTCGCATTCGTTTGTAAAGTAGCCCGACTGGCAGCAAATGCTAACAGCAGTCACCCTCTGGCAAAGCTGTTGGTGGTTGTCCTGAACGGAGCCCTTTCTGCAAAAATCGTCCTGAACCGGTGGGGAATCGAACCACTCCCGTTCACGTCCGGTCGCAATGTGTTACCACTACACCACCGATTCTTGTGCTTAGGTTCAGTATGGCAGCACATCTGCTGTGTATCTGTCTTTCAAGGGGACACACACTATCGTTCTCTTTTGCTGTTTTTGGCGACTTCTTAGCCGACTTTCCGCGTGTTTTCCGCGACAACGGGCTCTTTTTTAGAGGGTTGCTTACAAGCAAGCTAGTGGCGGTTTGACTCTCTGGCATGTGCCTGAAATGAATCACATGAGGATTTATTGCAGGTTTTCCTGAATGTACCGCAAACGACCGAATTCGGAATCGATTATAAATCTTGGAATGTTGGTCCAAAATTTCTGGGTTTGAAAATGATTCCACCTGGAGTGCATTTCATCTTCTTCAGTGTTAAAGGAGCACCACGTATTGGATTTTTTCATTATTTCAAAGAAAGTGAGGTGCTTTTGCGCAAGTGGGAACCCTCGCGTGAAGACATGGTCGTCGAGGTGACATCCACGGATGAGGTAAAGTCCAATCCCTCTATTCTATTATTCTACATTCAAAATTTTATTCTGCCAAAACTGTGGACTTCGCATTGGTATTTCGAGCACTCTTCGTGAACGGGGATTCATTTCAGGTTGCAAAAGTACGCTCAAATCTGAAATCGATGGATGGAGGTCTTGCGCCCTATCCATACGAAACATATCGAAATTGGTTTTCTCTAAGCAATCATATTACAGGTGAGCTGATTGTAGCGTACAAGTAGGTGCTAGGAGACTAGAGAGCGAAGAGATGGGGCGAACAAAGTATAAATGAATATGGAAATAGTGAGTTAAGACGTTTCAGTTCATTAAGTCATGTACGTCTTAGTTCAACACCACCACTGAACCTCGTCATTATGACAGTTGTGGTGTTCAGGGAGCAAACACTGAGTTAAGACGTTTCGGTCCATTAAGTCATATACCGCGACTGGACCTCGTCAGTATGACGGTCGCGGTGTTCGGGAAGGAGAAAAGAGAAAGTAACGAAAAGATGAAAAGGAAGGGTTTTTACTTTTATATTTTTACTTTTATATTATATTAAATTTAAAATTGAGCGATTTTTCAATAAACATTAATGTTTTTCCCTTGGTTTTTTTTCGTTTAATCTGCTTGATGACAGCGCGGTTTTCGTTCGGTCCCGTGCTTCCTGTCGCGATCGATGTAGAAATTAGGAATATCTCGATTCTTGAAACCTATAAATTTCCTAGTACATCCCTCTGTCCTGCTAGTGATCTCCCCTGCGTAAGCTTCGGCCGAACTAATGTAATTCATTCATGAAAATAGTCTGTTATCTTTTTGATTTTGGCCATTTGAACGTTTTTCAGAAAAAACAGTACAAAGATTACGCCCAGAAAATCAGTATGGTCGCATAACCAGTCAGGCCGAATTGGTTACGATGGAAACGGAACTGATGGAACGAGAAAGTGTAAATTTTTTTTTTTTTTTGAAACATTCGTTTATTACGTTTTTATTCATTGATTTCTTCTCTTAGTACAACTTAAAGATTTTAATTTCAGCCCCTAGGCATTTGTGGGTTTCATGCAGAAGCATGTAGAAGTTTTGACGGAAAAATTGCTCATTGAACGGCCTGGTCATTTTCAAAGAACGATCGTTCAACGGAAATTTTTCATTTTCCTTTATGCAAAATTTACGATAATTTACGCTAATGAGAACACAAACTAAACTAAATACAATCTTACTAAATGAACATTCAACAGAAATTTTTCATTTTCCTTTATGCAAAATTTACGATGATTTACGCTAATGAGTATGCAAACTAAATACAAGCAACAGCTATTGCATACAGTTAAGAACTTGATTGCTTCAATTTTAATGCAAAAAATGCATGATCGCACTGGCAAGCCTGTTGCGTTCCAATCTACGGTTCTTTTAAGCCCTATTCTATGGAACAGCGTCAGCACTTGTGTATTTATCTGCAGTTACACCATTTTCAGGGACTA